AGAACTAGCGTCAGCCTAGCGTTTCAGCCTAGTGGTTCTAGTGTCCAGTGCTATGGATAGAGATGTCTTCTGTCTAACAGTATGTGTAGTGTATACCTAAACTTCCTGATCTTTCAGGGCACAGTTCAATTAAATTCAAGTTATCTTTATCTCTGTAGTGCAATGATTGGAACACCTAGAGGGGTGATGTATACAGCAGTCTGGCTTTGTGAAGATCCTTGGGATTGTAGGGTATAGAGTTAAAAACCTAGTCTGAAAGGGCTGGTGGGAAATTCAGTACAGGGTAGATACTGTAATTATAATGCATCTCTGCTCTGAAGGTCTAGAGGGAGGATTGTGGGATAAGAAACTGTGGTGAGAAATCAAATTTTATGCAGGAGAGAACTTAATCTCCTGAATGTACTTATACCTAGAACTGCTCGGAGTTGGCATCAGTAAGTCGCTATTCCTTTTGCAACTGAGCATCTTAGCCATGTGCAACTCATCAGTCTTTACTTCTAGCCTCTGCATAGATAGTTAAGTGCACCCAGGCAACGGATGAGACCTGTGTGTCTCAGTCTTTTCAGAAGGTCTGTAGTGGAAGATAGAACAATTGTGGTATGCACCAGAGGTGCTTTCTCACTGCACTCTCCTGTCCAGGAACTGATAAGACATCTCGCTCCACTGCTAGGCAGGTTCCTTTTAAGAGGGAAGTGGATTTCTGTTGTAGGTTGTGATATGTAAACATTTCTGCTTTTACAGCTCTCGATTCAGGTGCTGACAAGCAACACTGTATTGTGTAATGGCCTCTATTTTTCCAGCTCCTTCATGCTTTTTTTTTTTTTCTCCCACTTAAACTCTGTTTTTATGTTCACTTAAGCCCTAGCTATACACCATGTTGGGGTGGAGGAAAAGAGTTTCAATAGTGCCCTCTGTATTTATAGCTGCTTCCTACACAGGGCACAAGGCTGCATAAGGGAAGATTCAAAGAACAATATGGTCTTGGTAGCAAGTCAGATAAGAAACTGATGAAATCGCTAAGATGTAAAATTCTTGACTGACAAACAAGAGCACAACATGAAATCTGAGCAGGCAGCTTCAGATAACCAGAATTAGATGAATAACTTTTCTTGATGATGACTCTTGTTTGATTTCTCACTCTGAAATACCACCCTAGCAATCTGACAGGTACTGAAAAAGAGATTGACATTAAAACTTTAATTCTATGAAATATGTTCTTCCTTATTTAGCAAGCTAACTGGCAGCAGTGTTTAACACAGATGCACTGAAGTTTCCTTTCTGCTGTATGGTTACCTTTTAATACAGTTTGGAAATCTTCAGTTGACTCCTGTGTAAAGTAACTTCCTCCTAGAAGGTCTTGTATTCTGTTATTCCTTTCTGTGATTTCTCAACCATAACCATCACAACTTCCACCTGAAATGATTTTAAAACTGAATATACGTGCAGTATAATTGAAGGACGTGCATCAAGTTAAGCAGAAATTTAGACAAATTCTACTGTGTGCCCTTCTTTTTTCCAGGATAGAGAGAATAAAATACTGCAATTGGAAAGGCAACTTGATGAACAGTCAGGGAGGCTGTTGGCTGTGGGAAGTCCGAATTCAGATATACTGACTACTGAAAATAACATGGAACTAGGTAAGAATCTAATCTGGATATTCAAAGTTCAATTTACTTTTGGTATTGTGTATACACGAGCAAACTTTTCTTTTGCATGTAGATCTTGTGAACCAGACGATGAAGAGAGCCAATGAAGGACTGCAGAAACAATGCAAAGAGAAAGAAGAGGTAGCTCTTGCTTAGTATTTAACAAATCTGGGGATAACGGTCTTAAACTCTGGCATGGTTCAATGCTTAAAGACCTGCACTGTAGACAAAACCATGAAGATTCCTGCAAATGGGAGTCAAGTGTACAAAAAAGCCTTTGTCCAATTGTGGATGACTTTTGCCAGAGATTGGCTGTGTTCTGGCTTTGCTCTAGTTTGTAAAGGCATCTGCTACTGTAACAAGTCACATGGTGAACATGATGCGAGTTGGAAGTAGGGAAGTGTATATAGTTCTCTATTGGAATGTGTGGTAAACACTGCTGCCATGACCTCAGTGCTTTCCTTTCTGAAATGCTGCCTGATCATGCACAGGGGAACAGTTACAGAATCTGGTAACAGTTTAGATCTAAAGCCAAAATAGTACCTTAAACCAGTCCTTTCTGTAAGTACTGAACTTCACTATCCTCTTAAACTTAAGTAAAGGGTAATCTCTCTGTTCTTCAAACAAACAAGATCCTCGTCTTCTGAACAGCATATAGAGCTGGAAATTAGGAGCTTCAGGCTGTGTTATGGAAAACAAATATTAATAATTTTTAGGTACGCATTTTTAGTCTATACCTTGAATGAACTTCTTGTAAGGCTACAGTTAGTTTCCTGTGTTTAAAGAGGATGGGGAGGAGGGAAGAGATGACCCTTGTTCCCTTTACTAATAACAAATGGGAGTAGGGGTTGGAGAAACAGTTCCAGCTGGTTCTAATAAACCGTGTAAAGGGAAAGTGAACTTAAATCCCTTTCTATTAAGAAAGAGTACTCCAAAAATAACTTTTTTCCTTACCAAGTTTAATGTCTCGTGTTATGGCCCTGGCATTTGTTTTCCACTCCTGTTCTTGACAGCTCTACATCATTTTCCATTTCCTATGTTAATTTCAAATTTTGATGCTAGAAAGAAACTTTGGGTTTTATGCTTGATATGGGGATACAGTATTGATTGTTTTGTGTGGCTAGAGCGATGGGATTGCTGCCTGGTAATAACTGAAGTGAGAGCAGTTTAAAGCAGTTGGTTCCATCAGTGCCCTTCTGCTGCTTCGCCTCACATATCTGTGCATGTGTGATGAGTAATTCACTACTTTTTTCTTTTTCCCTCCCATTCAGCCATTAAACATGGGCAAAAGTTTATTTTAGCAATCTAGATATTTTCCCTCCAACCTTGTAGAAGTAAGTGAATGATGCAACATTAATTTTGCGAGTTTCACAGTTTCTTTTTCCTCTCAAGACTTAATCACCAATATTCCCGTCGGAAAGGTGAGGTCTTCTGTTGTAACTGAGCTCCAATTCATTATATGAATAGTGTTGAGATGACAGCATTCTTTTAACTACCCTTACTGAAAAGGAGCAGACTGTTCCAGAAGTAGCTTAGTCTGTGTGGCTGTTCTTTGTTTGACAGGTCTGTGTAAATCTAGTAGCTTCAGCACAATAGCCCTTGAATGCTCCAGCTGTATTTTATCACCAGAAATGATGGGCTGGGACATAGGAGGTTGAGAGAAGCAGGCTTTGTCTTCATTGCTTTGATCTTGCAGTTTGCACTGTTCAGTATTAAACGGAAATGCTTACAGTGTCTGTATGAGTTCTAGTCATAAACAAAATTCACATAAAATATGCTGTCTTGAACTTCAGTGTGTATGGGCTTTATTTGCAGCTTATAAAATCTCTGAAGTTCAAAATACAGAAATTAAATGAAACCCTGCTAGAAGCTAACGAAGGCTACAGAAAAATGGCAGAAGAGAACAGTCAACTGAAGCATACAATCATGCTCAAGGTTTGTCAACAATTTAAAAGCAATTTTAATATGGCTTGTATCTATAGTTGTACTGGATGTTTCTTCATCTTTGTACATGTAAAACCACCGTTCTGTCTTATGGGACGGAATGCCATCCAGAGGGACCTGGACAAGCTCAAGAAGTCAGCCCATGTGAACCTCATGAGGTTCAACAAGGCCAAGTGCAAGGTCCCCCACCTGGGTTGGAGCAACCCCTGGTATCAGTATAGGCTGGGGGATGAAGGCATTGAGAGCAGCACTGTGAAGAAGGACTTGGGGGTGCTGGTGGATGAAAAGCTGGACATGAGCCAGCGATGTGTGCTCGCAGCCCAGAAAGCCAACTGTATCATGGGCTGCATCAAAAGAAGCATGGCCAGCAGGTCGAGGGAGGTGATTCTGCCCCTCTGCTCTGGTGAGACCCCACCCAGAATGAATACTGTGTCCAGCTTTGGGGCCCTCAGCACAGGAGGGACATGGACCTGTTGGATTGGGTCCAGAGGAGGGCCACAAAAATGATCAGAGGGATGGAACGTCTCTCCTGTGAGGAAAGGCTGAGAGAGTTGGGGTTGTTTGGCCTGGAGGAGAGAGGACTCGGGGGAGACCTTATTGCGGCCTTTCTGTACTTAAAGGGGACTTACAAGAAAGACGGGGACAGACTTTTTAGGACTTGTTGCGAATAGGACAAGGGGTAATGGTTTTAAACTAAAAGAAGGTAGATTTAGACTAGATATGAGGAAAAGGTGTTTTACGATGAGGGTGGTGAAACACTGGAACAGGTTGCCCAGAGAGGTGGTAGATGCCCCATCCCTGGAAACATTCAAGGTCAGGTTGGATGGGGCTTTGAGCAACCTGCTCTGGTTGAAGATGTCCCTGCTTATGGCAGGGGACTTGGACTAGATGCCCTTTAAAGGTCCCTTCCAACCCAAACTATTCTATGATTCTGTGTTAGCGTAATGTTTTTACCTAAGTTGTTTTTTTGCCTGCCTTTTTTCCATCCCTAACTTCCTGAATTATGATCTCAGAGCTCTTGTGTTTCACTCCTTGACTTTCTATCTTGTAAGACAAGACTCATTTTTCAGTTTAAGTGATAGACTTGGTCAATAGGGTGACTCTGCACTGACAACTCTTGCTAATCTAAAGATGTCACAAATTATTGTCAAGCAAATAAAATACTACTCAGGACTCTAGTGGTGAAGTATTTGGCTGAGGGCAAGCAAGCTGTCAGTGCACAAATGTTAGTGCAACAAGACCTAAGGGTCTATGGCTTTGGAGCTATACTGACACTCCTGCAGAGGTGGCCAAGCTGGATAAGAGAGATGGGCAGGTAAACTACTTAATATTGAAATAGAAGAAATCTTTCCTTCAAAAGCAGGGACTTCATAAAGCTGACAGCATCTGACCTCAGACATCAAGTAGATTGCTAAATAAAAAAAAAAAAATTCGAACTCTTGACACTTTGCATCTATGCCTCATTTGTAATCTGCAAATGAAGCAAGGCAGGAATAAGACTGCTTAGCGAAATTTTTCTTTGAACATTAAATTACCTTCTGCATGCTCTTTAGTCTAAGTCTGAGACTGAAAATTATTCATCTTGAACTTAATTGCTTCTAAGACATGGGAAGGTGACTTTTTGTTAACCACAAGGATTAGAGAGCATCTTTAAGATGCTGTATTCTGCCCACTCAAAGCATTTATTCAGTCCTGGTTAGCAGACTTACAACTACAATAAGAGTTTTGATCTGACCAGTTTTGCTTTCAGTAATTGCAGCTTAAGACAGGAAAGCCATCTTTACTTGGTTCCTAAAGCAACAGCAATTCTTTGCATAGTGTGGCTAAGCATTTTAGCATCAGCTTCTTCAGTCAGACTTATTCTCTAACTAGCTCTGATGGCCCTGTAGTTTCCTGTTCTCTAAATTACATAGAAGTAATTCAGAAAAATGAGTACTGAATAGCCATTTGGCATAGTAATAACAGGGGTGTTTACTGGTATACTAAAATAATCTGAAACGGAAAATTAACTACGCGAAAAAGACTTTGAAGTGTTCACGTACCTAACAGAACCTTATCCTCTTAGGATCAAGAAATTAATAGTCTTCAGAACTGGGCTAAACGTGTTCTTGAGCTTGAAGAAACAGTGTCTTCCCTGCAAAAAGAACTTGATGAACGGAAAAAGCATTTCTCTGCAGAGGAGCCAAAACAACAAAAGCCCAGGAGAGGTTTGTTGGCTAACCTGAAATCCACAGTAGCAGCCACTACTAGCACACCTCTTGGTAAAGGCTGGGGGAAGTACGAAGATGCTTCATCCCCTTCAAGAAAACAAGTACTGTTGGCTCATAAAGCAAAAGAATAACATTTGATTAATCAGTGTGCAATTACTGGGCTGCTTTATCCATCTTAAACTGTCGGTAGCTTTCTCAGATGCCATCTTCACTGTCATGCTAACTGACAGAAAAATGTTTAATACAGAACTGTTTTAATTGAATCAGGGTTGAATTTAGAGCTATGTAAGTATAGACCTAAATGTGTGTTTTTACTGTTGATATGGGGATGTGATTTGAGAAATAGATATATATAATTTTAATTCTTGAGTAACTGCTATCATGGTCTTCTATACTGATAAATGTGTTCATGCAAAGTGGGATGTTCCTCATCTGCTGGTCTTGTTACCTTTTTAAATAAAGTATTTAATTTTAATTGTTGATTCCTAGAAATCGGATGCCTTGTAAGCTTAATCTCAAGTAGTTAAAATAGCTTGGTTCTTCAGTTAATATTCTCGCTTTGGCCTGGAAACTGCCATCTTGGGACCAAACTAAGCAAATTGCTAAACATAAGGCCTCATAAGAGGCATTGAAGTGAGGTCTTACCTGGCTCCTTGCTACTTTTCAGCTAACTTGGCTTTGTAAAGGAACTTGTTTTAATATAATTTGAATTTCCACTAAGAATATGCATTAAACTTTGAAAAATCTATTTATAATAAAATTTTCCATTGCTAAATTAAGCTCTGACTGTTCATTTTATAAAGGTCAGAAAATTGGTGAAATCAAGATAAAGTAAGATCATAAGCTTAGATGCCCAATGATTATGGTGATTGACATATGATGTTCTTGAGTTGAAAGAATCATAGCCCTGATTATATTACTTACTTACCTTAATCTGGTAACTGAAGGAAGGAAGACTGGAGCATGACGAAATTTGAAGTAGCTTTCTTAGAGCCATTTCAGTCAGTGATGGTAAGAGGTTTTTTTCGAACTACTGTGAAAGTACCATGCCTGTAAGTGCTGGAGGATTGCTTTAGAACAAGGCAGAATCCATAAGGAAATTGGATTGACCAGTCGCTGTAATGCTGTTCCTCACAGTGGAAGGGGATCCCGTTCAGAGGGAGAACCTCACCCTCCCTGTGCAGACACTAGGTGGTGCAGCCTTCCTCTCCGACACTGAGGACAGCCCTTCGGTGGTGTGACTGGTCTTGCCGGGTCTTGGAGTTTTGGTTTGGTCTGCGCAAATGCAGTGGTAAGTGATCACTCTGACATGTCTTTAACCAGGCTGGAGATGTAGCGCTTGAGCCAGTGCTGTTCTCGTGTTTTCAACTGTTTCTGTTAAATACAGGTTATCCAGCTCCAGTAGTTCTAAAGGCCTATAATCCCTCCAGGGTAGAATTTCTGAACTATTATTCTACTCCCACACAAACTATTCCAGCTATTAAAAAATATTTTGGTATAGTTCTACAATACACTCAGTGCTGATCACTTGAATAAGAAAGCTGTAATGTACAAACTGCTCTAAGAACAGCAATAGCCAAAGAGAAGTTAAAGTAAATCATCAAAACAGGCTAATGCTGGAACCTTTCTATAGCACTAGATCATTTGCAAAGGTATTACACCTTGACAGTCTGCCACTTGTCTGAGAGTGTATGTTGGCAAGTTTCTATAACAGTAACTATAACCTCTTATTCCCTGAGCAACTGCTGTTTACGTGTTCCCTCCTACTTCCCAGAGCTCTTTGGCTGGCTACAGGAAATGGTTTGAAAGACAAGGTTATGTTATCTTAAGCTATTTTGTTTTCCCTTAAAATAAAATGAAGCCTGTAGTGAAGTGCTGACCAATTCTCACCTAATGTTTTCCAAAGAGTTGCAATGGACTGTGTTGCTATTACATTAAAGTCTTCTGAGAAATTGTTTTAAAGGACAGCTGAGGTCTGACTTTCTTTTTTCCTGCCCTCCACACCAAAAAGAAACCCTAACAAGGATGAAGACATGGCTGGTTCAGTCCTTTTCAGCTTCACAACGCTCAATGGATTTAAAGAAAGCAGATTCTATTAATATTTACCATTGCAAAATAATCTTGTTAGTGGTGATGAACAGATGTTGCCCTGTTCCACATGAAGCTACCACTCTCGATAGAACATCAGCCATTTGTTTTATCTCAAATTACTACCATACAACTTGCTTCAGATTAAGTGTTTATTAAAAATCACCGTACAATACACGCTATTTACATATTTAACTGGTAGTCTGCTTAAACTACACAGTTTGACTGAAGGAAGCCAATGGAAAAGAAAAGCAATGAATATTTATGCTGTTGAACTTCAACTGCAGGCACACTGAAGCTTTATCAAACGGGTTTTAAGCTTCTGCAAAGTACCATTGCCTAAATAATTGGGCTGAGGGGTGCCAAAGATGTACTGGGTTTCAGGTGTAAGAACCAGTGTCACTTTGGGGGAAAAAAAAAGTAATCTATGCTGTAGTTACATTGCAATTGCACTAGCTCAGCTGTTTTGGTAAGTAATTTGATGGAATAATTCAATATGTAGAGCTTGGCAAACTGCATTCACTTTTATGAATTAGGTTTATATACTGAGCAACAACCCTATAGTGTCACTGCAATGTAACTTGGTATCTTACTGCATATTTCCACAAATTGTTTTTGATAGTGCTAGGGCTAGTTTTAGCTTTGAAACAGATTTGAGGTTAGTTGATTAAAGCAGCAAAAATATAAGGAATATTCTTGAATAATCACAGAGAATTAAAAATTAAGATAAAAATACTTTCACTGGTAACAACAGTCTCAGCAACTGCAATGAAAGGATAAACTTCCTTCAAACTCCTGTGCTTTCCCATGGACTTCAGATGATGACTTTGGCCTTGTGGGAAAGCGAAGGTTGAATATGGAGTTAGGCGTGATGCTGCTTCTGCCGTCACGTGTGTTCATATTGCACTTCCGCATATGTGATGGCTGTGCAATGCTTTGAAAATTATTTTACATTTAAGATGAGTAATACAGCAGTAAACCAGAATCATCTTCAGTGTAAATAATTACATACATAACCCTTCCTTTAAAGGAAATGATGACGCCGGTTAGGAAGTCTTACAAGAGGTGACAGTACTCCAACTACATATGTGAAATAACAAGGATATAAAAATAATTTTCACAATATGCTGTATTTCAAAAAAAGATGATTTAAGAACATCACCATGTCTTAAATCTGTAAGTTCTCCTTCATGACTTTTTCTTTTGAAAACGGCTGTTCATGCATCTTCTCACCCCTTTTATAAACGTCTCCTTGTAATGTATTCCATGACTTAGATCTAAGAAGGTGTTGTCAAACTGTACCTGGTGCATGATCGCTTTCCTTCCTTCTCCCTCCCCACCCCAAAAAGCCTGCTTGGTTTGAGATGTTTCTGCAGATGCAAAACACAGAGTATTTAAGGAGAACTTCAATCTCTAGGGGAACTGTTTTAACCAAAGATAAACATTATTATTTCTCTGCAGAATATACTCTTTCCTTCAGCATTTCAGCTTCCACACTCGGTTAAGACATCCAAACTTGTGAAGTAATTGGTTTGAGCAGTCTGTCCAAATAATAGTCTGTGCCAATGATCCATGTTAGTAGAAAAAGTGTTCTTTGTTCTATGGCTGTTGTTGATACTGCCCTTCTGTTGCTGTGTAGAAGTCATCAAGCACACTCTGTAGATAATCAAATGTTGGCCTCTCTTCTGCTTTGTCTTTCCAGCATGTTTTCATGATATCGTAAAGCTCAGCTGGACAGGTTTCCATGCGTGGCATTCGGTACCCGCGCTGAAGAGCAACCATCACATCAGAATTGCTCATACCTTCAACAGAAAAAGAAAATTTTGAGCAAATGATGATCTCGGTTCCTAAACAAACAATTTTTTCTTTTTTATTTACTTCGCTCCAAAGATCTTCACCCAATAATACAAGGGTATTACTGCTTATTAAAGGTAGCTACTAATAAGAGTTCAATAAACAAGGCTGAGATGCGTTCTGGAACTGAGGGACTTGCTTTGAAAACCCTGGGGGAAGATTTCCATTTCCCCAGTTGACTGTAGCGACCTTTTTAGTGCCAAGATGGGGGAGATCATAATTCTTGTCTCCAGAACCAGCTCCGTTCTGTTCCTTTGACCAGTCCTGCCACCGTTTGTTCTGCTTCCAGTGGTGGTGAGATTCCCAGCGAAAGCCCACCCTGGCACCAGCCTTTGTCTCGTAGGTGCAGAGCTTCTACCCTGCTCGTGGTAGACCCCATCCACACTGAGATGTAGAAGAGCCTACCTGTTTGACCACGCTCCCAGCCACCCTGCCCAAGGTGGTAACACACTTTCAGATTTTCTTCTACGTCAGCATTTGTGTAAGCGCTGCTGATTGCAAGACACTGAATGTTGTCACTGGAGATATTGTAACTTGTAACAGGCAATTTCCCCTCCCTTCTTTCTCATCGTATTCCTATTGCGCAAAACCATCTTGCCAGCTGTGCTGAGCTTTGCTTTGTTTCCCCACTATGGTTTTCTTTCAGGGGATAAGAACTCTAATCACCAGCAGCGCGTCCTGACCCTCACATGCCAACTAATCTCACGTGAGAGAGGCCTGCCCTGGGCTCCATCCTCCTCCTCTCTTTTTTTTTTGCCCCACCCCCCTCCCTCCTTTTTTAAATCCTTGACCAATTGGTTCACGGAATGATTTCGACAGCTCCTCTCAGAAGGTCAGCTATGGCAGGGCCAACAAAAAGGCTCACCACTTCCTACCCAGAAACCTGCCTTTCAGCTTGTCCCTTCCTCTGCAAATCTTATGCAACCCAGGGGAATAATTGTGCTAGGATTACCTTCTCCAGGACACAGACTTTTAAGCTTTCTGTACTCCGGTGAATGCTGTTTCTTCCGATGGCTTCAGCCTAGATATTTGCTACCACCAGTGAAGACTTTCCCTCTATCGAGAAGGGTATTCCAGACCCCACAGCTGCTGGCTGCTCCTCAGGCTAAATGCTCCCTGTGGTGCAGTTCTGCCTAAGACTACAGTTTCTCATGGTTTTTCTCAGGCAACTCAGCCTCCAGTCAGGTCTGTGCGTGACATTCACTGCTCCTGCTCTCGCCAGTTCCCCAGAGGTGCAGGGAGAGCAGCTACGCTCTGCTGAGAGGAGGCAGGAGAGGTCCTGCTCCGAGCAAGGTCGGCAGCAGAGATGCAGATGTGGTGACTGCGCAGCTCTTGCTGCAGACTGCGCGCATCTTTGTACGTCTTATCTGACTATTAAAGCTACGCTTTAAACCACTTGGCAGGTAAGGACACATCTGAATTACAACCAAACAACAACTTTATCCGGTATAACTACTTTGATTATTCAAGATTACTATGGTTCATATAGTTGACTTCAGTTCAAGCCTTTTGGCTTTAACCTGTTCTAGAAATACTGTCAGCCATGAAATCTGAGTCTGGATCAGAGTGCTTACATCTTTTGTATTTTCAGTTACGCTTTGGAAGGAGGAGTGACGTTTTTCTGAGCTAACATTGCACACGTGTGTAGAAAAACAGTATTTTGAAGGTAGCTGTGGAATGGCATGTTGTCACAGAATAAGGAATTACTGCTATATAAAGACAAAATAAATATAGGAAGAAAGTCGATAAAGCATTTTATAGAGAACAGTGATCTGACTGCTTAAGCTTAAAGAAATGGATTGTATATAATGTATGCAGTGAAACAGTTAGTTATATTATGCAAAGGCTTAGTTAACTGTGTGTAACGCATGAGGACTACTGCTACTGGGTTCTGCGCAGAATGGGGCTGATTCTGTGGGTTTAAGTACTTCATAGGATTGTGCTTAGATCCAATGCCTGCAGGACTGATTGCTTGTTACATTCTGAATGCCAAGGACAAAGCCTGTGTTTCAGCTAACTTGCAAGAAAACTATCTGGTAAATAACCACTTCACAAGACAAAAATGAAAAGACTTTTATCAGTATTCCATAGTAAATACAATGTCATGAACAGACTTGCATATGTTTTGCGTTTTATTTAAAACAAAAAGGCTTACCTGTCTACCCCACAGTCCATGTGGTATTCTCCAAATAGCTACTTGTTTAACTTTTCTTTTTTTTTTTTTTTTTTTTTTGTGGCTAGAAAATTACCTGTCTTATCAAAACTACATCCTAATCAGTAAAAGAAATATATCCCACGTGCATATTCGGTACACTTACACCCTCTTAAATGTTAGCAAAGGACATATTAGCTCTAAAGGTTCGGTACATGTCTGTTAATTTACACTATGGTACCTGTTAAGTGTCACAGATAAAGACATATTTGCTTATGTTAGAGCCTGGGAACTTGTGTGAATGCAGTGATGTGGAGGAAGAATCCCACCATATGGAAAGCAGCATATCTTGTGAAGAGCAGCTGACATAACTGGAATGCAAGTATGGATGTTGTCACTATTTGACATACTATATAATCTCCTGGAAGTTAGTTTTAACAACCAATTCAACTTACTTGCCCAGAGATTCAGATACTTGTTTCGTATTTCAGAGGTAGTTCCTGAAACTATGGTCCCACTGATTGCTTTGAGTTTCTCAGTAAGAGAAACAGCTGTTGGCCTTTACCAGCAAAGGTCACAAAAGCCCCAAGTTTCTTGGCTGGAAATGCTTCCTACCAAGTTGCCTGCCTAGATTTTCCTCACAGGTATTAACTACTTGCCGGTTTCAACTCAAACTCTTTCATACGCAGCTTTATGCTGAATACTGCATAAATATGCATAAATACTGTCTAGTTGCTGGAGCTGGGTAATAATTGAAAATAATATTTTGAAGCGTTCCTGTTAGAACTGAAAAATCAATTTACTGTTTCTCTCCAGTGGCTGCTGGTTACAACCTATCACTAGGTTACTCTTGCCATGCTGGGGTAATTTGCCCAAACCTGTCACATCTCTTCATGTAAAGTAAATTGGTCACCCATTTATTTTGCTGTCCTTGTGATTCTTCAGTTTCAACTTTCAGTTTAATAGGCTATTTCAATTTATACTTCTATTTAAAATAGACATATATCCCTCTTCCAGTTTAATCCAAACAATGCCTGCAAACTATTAAAATCTTCCTGTATGCAGTCAAGAGGCTTCCGCTTCTAATTGCTCATCGACAAATGAATCCACAGTGAATGGCCCATTTATGGTGCTCATAAAAGTGATCGCATATTAAAAAAATATTGCCCAGACTTCCTCTAGAAGAGAGATTTTCCCACAGTAGTAGAGCAGTACAGTGTCTGCTGTACAGATTGATTTTTTTTTTTCTTAAAATAAAAATATGATATGTTTTATGGAGGCAAAGAGAGAGCAGACATAGCTGCAGAATTAAGGATTGAATTGGGGGTTGTGTTTTTGTCGTGCTGGTTTCCAGGTGAGCTCGTAGGTTTGCTCAGAGAAGGATAATTTTCAAGGCATCTAGACATAACCTCGTAAGCCCAGCTCATCACAGGCAACTGTCTGGATACGTAGGCGTGTGCTAACGGGGAAAAAAAGTATCCCGACTGTGGGAAGCACCAGGCGTTACTCGGCTGCATACAACTCCCACCTGATCTTTCCTGGCGACATGAGCAGTGTTTAGAATAGCTTTGGGAGGACCTGCTACGCCATCACATATTTCATAGCCCTTACCTAAAAACCAACCCGGAGCATATGTTTAAACACTTAGCTGTGCAAGCAGCCCTATCATCTCTTGAAGTTTAAGGGGGCTACCCTTGAGCTTAAGTGCTTTCCTGGACTGGAGCCTTACCGAGCAATGAGAATGCCTTGTATGGAAAGCTGCTATGTTCTTCCATAACGCAGTGTGAAGTTGGCCGCCATCACCCCTTCCCCGCTGCCCAAGTCTCATGGGAGGTCTGGTCTCCCTGTGCCCAGAGGTGTTGAGCCTACTGTCGTTTCAGGACCCGGGGCTCGGGTCCCCCAGGTCTGCCCCTTTGACACCTCTGGCAGTTCAGGATGCAGAATTCCAGCTGCTCAGGACATGGTGGTGAAAATGCTTTCACTGTGTAAACAGCAAGAGCTGCTGCACTGGAAGTGCTGGGAAAGCTTTGCTTGGATGAGATATCTTCTCTCCCTTTACTGCCTGTGGACTGCAGCATCCTAAGGGTTCTTCTCATAAGTCACTCCATCTGTGAGATGGCAGCACAGGTGGATATGGCTGTACTTTCCCCATTTGCCCACAAGATAAGAGAATTTTGGTTCATTTTCCATAACCTCAGTAAGCTTAAATGAATGCAGTCTGGTACCCTGAGTTAATCAGCTATGCCTGAGATGCAACAATTTTGTGTGCAAAAATATCCTTCATACAAGTTGTTTCTGTGTGCTGGAAACATTAATATGTATTTTGTTTAACAGAAATAAAAACGAAACGTAAAGCACGTAACCCTTTCGCAGCTACTTAATGCAGCTATGACTGATGTACTCTGTGGTCTCAGACCTGAACCATAGGGAACAATGAAGAGCAAATATTCCTAGCTATATACAGCGCTGCTTTAGGGTCTGCTTTCATGTTTGTTTAGATTAGCTACCACTGACAAATTATTACAGCCTATTTGCTTGTGGAAACACTTTCTTAGCACTTTCACGTATTACAGAGACCGTGCTGCTGAGCGTAAAGCCGGGATCTGTGACAATTCAGCATTTGCTGCAGTTGCACTTTTGAATATATAAAAATGACCACTTGTTCATGGTGCCATTAGTCTGTTTGCTAAAATTTACCCCAGAGAGGCACGTGGTTTACACATACGGTGACTATAAGTTTTCAAAGCGATAACATTACCTGTGAGACGTTTTCCAAATCACTGCTGTCGCTGCTGTCAGATGCCAGCTCTTTCCATGCTTTCTAACACCAAAGTATAAATACAGAGTAACGGTATAAACACAGGCCCATACCTGGATAAGGAATCTTTCCATATGTAACGATTTCATACAGGAGAATCCCAAATGACCACACATCAGATTTAATAGTGAAAGATCCATAGTTAATTGCCTCTGGTGCTGTCCATTTAATAGGGAATTTCGCACCTACAAAAAAGCACAGTCTCAATCAGTCAGAGGCAAATTTAAACACTCGATATCAAGTCACTACAAGGTCTTAAACGACTTGCCTACGATACCCGTAAAGTAGCGAAGTTGCCAGCAACTCCTTTCTGTCCAAGAGTTACCAGCAGAGATGTGCTGCGGGATGCATGTTGCCACACTACACGGCCTGTGTCAGAGGTGCAAATGAGATGCTGAAAATTGCATAGCACCTTTTGACTCTTAGGCATGGTGAATTTTTGCTAAAAATACAGTCTCCGTTTTCCCTTCTGCCCAGTGGTCAGGCAACAATCTTACAATTCCCATCACCTGCAACTTCACTAGACTTTAACTAACTTTTCCTATTTTAACGGAAGTCTGTCTAGCTTCAACAGACACTTTAACACATTTCACATTCAGCCATAGATGCAAAAGCAGTAGCAAGTCATATCTTAAAATACTGTCTTTCATGTCTAATTAACTGATTCAGAAAATCCCATATAAAAGCAAACTCCTTCCAGTTAAGTAAGAAAAGTTCAAGCAGCCGTTGTTGGGGAATATTAAATCAGCTCTTCAGACAAAGAAGAGTAATACAAGCAGATTCTCTCTATGCCCTTTTTAGCCTGCTCTATCATTCTGGCAGAAAATACCAGGTAAGCTAGGAAACTTTTCTGAATGGCAGAAAACACATCAAAGAAATTCATCATAAAGAATTTATAACCTGAAAGGTTCATTTAATCAATATACAATGTCCAGAGGTAGCTAAAAAAAACCACAGATAGGGGTTCTGTACCTCTGAAAACTGCTTAATCTGACCCTTGCCTCTGATCTATTGAATTACTGTTCCCCAGGGACTGCTGAATAGCTCACCTTCCTTTAATCTCAACTGTAGCGCATCGTTCTCTTTCTTCCTCATACCTTAGTTCTTCCCCCCTCGTCCTACATTACCACAGTTTCCATCCAGACTGTGTGAAAATAAGAAGTAGTGTCTTTAAAACAAGAGGGGGAAAGCCAGCCAACAAACCTACTCTGCAAAGTTACCCTAATGCCATCTGTGCATGGAAGCATAAATAAAAACTTTTCACTCCAACAAATTGACTACGCGCTTCTTGAAAGGATCCTTGACAACATTAGCAAAGCACGCATGGCGAAACCCAGACAAATATCTTTAATGGTAGGATTTCCCCTCTCGCCAGTCCTGACCCTGCTGCGATGTCACCTCCGTCCGTGTGCTGAACAGGGACGTGACCCAGCCTTCCAGTGTCCCTAGACGTACCGGACCCAGTTCCAGTGGCCCTACACGTAGCAGCAGTGCTGCCCAACACGCAAATCAGCGCTGCAGCTCCTAAGGCAGCTTCAAAAGACAACCCGGTCTGCTAAAGGTTTTCTTGTTACCAGCAACTACACCTGCTAGGGCTCCTTCCTTTCCCTAAGGGAAAGGAGGTGCATGTGGCACGTAAGGATGTGAAGAGAAAATAAGATCATATTTTCTTGGCATTTAATTCAGTGGGATGGAAGCTGTGGGTGCGCAATTAATTTGCTCAATTTAGAAAAATTTGCGTGCAGTTAAGTACTCTCAATTTTATTTGTTCTTCAAATGTATTTAAAATAAACTTCTCAAAAAGCCTGGGACGCACAGAAAGGTTGCTTGTTTCCTTATTGTTTTTAAAAGTTGTCGGCATTAGAATGCTGCCTGGGAAGTTGTTACGGCATTTTCTGTCCTTGGTGACCATGTTATTGTTAGATACAGACTCACTGCCTCCCAGAGGCTGAAGTTTTAAAGACAAAAATAAAAATACATACCTTCCCTTGCTGTATATTCGTTGTCTTCGATGACTCTTGCTAGTCCAAAATCAGCAATTTTGCACATCAGTAAGTCCGAAACCAGAACATTCGCTGCTCTCAAATCCCGATGGATATAATTTTTTCTTTCTATGTACGCCATCCCTTCTGCAATCTGCAACAAATGAAACAACAATTTTGATATTTCAACACCATCAGCAGGTCTGAGCTCTCTGTTCTTTCAATGTATTAGCAAAGCCACATCCATTTATTCCTTACCAGTATCTTTGGAGCAATTTTTAGATGGAAGCAAAGAAAGGGTGATTGCCACACAAAACTTATGTGTAGATGCAGTCCTGCAAAACTATACTTACAGTAGCAGCTTCAAAAGAATTGTTTGGGTGACTAACGGCTGGCAGGATTAGAGATAAGTATTAGAGACATTTCCTGAAACAAAAGCTTAATTAAAATATTCCGAAGATTTCTACTAAAATATTCTCTTCCCTAAATTATTCAACAGTTTATTTTCCAAATACTAAGAAAATGGAAGGAATTAATACGTTAAACAAGATACAGATGTTCTTTTAAGGACTGATGAAGCAACAGTGCAGATAGAGTGAAAAAAAAAAAAAAACCCAACAATTTTCTATTTACCCAGCATAGGCCTAGACAATCGGGAAATAGTTACTAAGATAGGGAAAACAACTTTATCTATTTTCTTCTACAACATGTACCTGTTCATACACGAGGAGCATTTGGCAACAGCCAGCTCTCAGATACAATCATAAGCAAATTTAATTTGTATTTCAGCAGCCCAAATTAATTTCCAACCCAAATTAAAGATGATTAATGTCTTCAAAATATGCATTGGGGAAGATTTTTTTCAGTATTTGCCCAGATTAACTTCTTTTTTTTTTCCCCTAGAGAAAAACATATTACTTTCCAGAAAAAAAGAAACTGAAAGAATAGTTTCTGAAGTCAGAGCAATAAAACTGTTGGGTAGATTGTATTCTGTCCAAAAGTTTAAGAAGAACTAGGAAAAAAGAAAAATAAACCCAGTGCTTGTGAGCTGTCGGTTTTTCTCTCCCTTGTAAGACTCGGGTGATGGGCCATTCCCCGGCAAGGCCCACGGTCCAGCCCGCGCGGCAGGTACCTCTCCGGGGTGCCCGGGGGTGCCCGGGGGTGCCCGGGTGGGGCTGGGGAACGCGCAAGCCCTCAGATTTGCTAACGAATCAGCAGTAAAGCAGTAAGGGGCCTTCTCCAGTGCCAGTCCCCAGCACACTCATACACGGGCTCTTTCCTCTCCACCTCAGGAGAAGACAAGTGCATGGATCCCTTCTCGGCGCCAGAGGTGATGGTTTCAGCCGTGCAGTAAAGCAGGCAGGGGCACCTGACCAAATCTTAAGAAAACATTAACATCACTTCTGCTTATTCATTTTTAAAAAGTCCCCGAGGGGTGCTGCGAAGGCACACACTGCCACCACTTACAACACAAAACCACACGGTCTTTGTTCCTCTTTTTCAGTTTAGGCAATGGAAAAATAATGCCACTCGCCCTCCCACCTCCTTCCACTGTGTCTTCTTACAAACCAATGTATTCTTCAGAGCAGAGTGTTACATTGCCCTTGTACGACGCAGGGAGGGTCTCACACTAAACCAGAAAGAAACTCCGGTGATGAAGAGAATGAAGAACACCTGCATTTCATTTTCTAGAAATAAGTAAGATGTTTTATAACGAAGGAAGCAGCTACTAGTGAATAATTGCCACAGAGAATCTTACTAGAGACTTGCAGACAAAACAGAAGAGTAGTATTTGATTAGAGCCTGCTCTGCCTCTCTCTCCTTCCCATGTGATTACTTGGGTTTGGGGAGGAATGAGAGACGAAAGGGAAGGTTTTGCTTTAAGATCAATGCTGAGATTGGACTGGCCAGTTTGGCAGATACGACCAAAACACAGACAGGTTCACTAACGTCGCCAAAAATACACCAGCCATCACAATGGAATCAACTTTCCTCCTACTTCCCTGCACGGATTTAACATTTGGGTGAACTGCTGGGTGGGGAATGAAGAACCACTTCACGAAAGAGACATTTGTGCTGGCAATATTTAGTTTCCAAGTCCAACCTAGCAAAGCCACTGGACAGACCATTTTATTTCCTCTTATTTGTGCCAGACTCGCTGAAGTCATCATCTGATTAGTCACAAATGAAGAATGTGACATCAAACGATCCATTATGTTTTCAGCAAATACAAGCTATATTTCTGTGAAATTCCAGGACAATAGGTTTGGCTGCATTGAATCATAGAAATTCAAAGAAGCCACGTATGTGCAAGCATTTGGGCATGCAAAAAATTCCCGAGTAGGAGAAGAATAATGGGCAAGGAATTTTGAATGGGAGAAGGAGGGGAAACACAGCAACTGGGCAACTGAATTCACACATCTGGTCACGTTAAACCTTTGCTCGTGGGAAAAGAAAAAAAAAAAAAAAAGAGGATTTTTGATCAAGGGAACGGGTGCCAGAGCCCACGTGATAACTTTTTATGATAATTGTTGGGTTTTCATTGCCAAATGATATGTTAGAGAAATTCATGGGAACAAAAGAAAATTAAAGCCTTTTTCCCCCTATTTTAATGATCATTGGTACCTGTCAAGACTGTTCGGCTACATGTAACTACTACTCAGAAGCAGGATGGGAAAGTTAATTTGGGCTTCTGGGATATGTTTTGTGGCCTTTAAGAGAGGGTTCTGCCCTACACTGCACAAGTGTTACCACCAGGAAGGGAGCAGTTTCACCTTTAATGAACTACTGACACACTTCTAGAAATACCCAAGTTAAATCCTTTTAAAAACAACCAACCAACAAAGCTCTAAATGCTAGGAACTATGCACCCAGGGTAAGAATGGAAGAAATAAATCACTCCACAAGACAGCCTCTGTACGGTAAATCTTCAGCTAAAAGTCACGCAATAAGTGAATGACTCGGAGCCGCAGCTCTGCAGACAGCTCTGTCACCCATTTGGGGTGGGATTTCAGCTGGCAGTGCTCTTTCCTCTCTGTTTCTCCTCTTTCTACCTGTACAGCAGGGTAATTGCTTAACTTTTTGGAGCTCTTGTCGGTCACATCACAAACAGGTATAAAACTCTTTCAAAATCCTGAAAGAAAATAGTAGAAAAAGCGTGGCACATAGGATGTTGCTTTGAAAACATGCATTCCCCACTTTCTGACCCATTCTTTTAGCTTCTGAAGGTGTTTGGGGAAGGAGGCAAAAGCAGCAGAGGGCTTTGAAGTAGGGAGGGGAGAACCTACTGCCACAGGAGAGCTACACCTTCTGAGAAGCAAAAGCACTTGGTCACAACTCAAAGACTTCCTCGGTGAAACGTCCCAGCCGGCATTAAACAGCACGTAGAGGGACAGGCAGTTCTGTGCTTTTTTCCACAAGGTGAAACTCAGTTGTTGTTTTGGTTTTTTCTGCAAAACCAGAGAACTTCTGGATCCCTTCATAGCTCTGTTTTTCAACTCAAAGACATGCTTGATTTCAACTTCCATTCCAAAGGTCTGTGATCCTCTTTTGCAAGAGTTCTTTCAAACAAGGCATGTTTTACACATAGTTTGCAACGCTGTTTCTTCATGCAGAGAGGAGGTTATGGCAACATGCGTAATGGAGTCTGCTTGTGCATTTCTAGGCTGTATGTAAAAATGTGGAATACTAAAGAGGCTGGAGGGGTTTGCTTAGGGTCAGCCTGATAGGATGTTTTTACATCATGCTGAGAATGCATTATATCATGTTGAGAAGGAAAATTAAGTGACAGGGATCATGAAACAGAGTGGAATGAATATGAAAGGGAATGAAAGAATAGCAAAATATGAAGGGTGGTTTTTTTTATTAGGAAAGCAAGTTTTAAACAACCTGGAGGGCTGACAGGTACAACTTCATGGGGAAAAAAGTCTCAGGAACAACCACACCGTCAAAAAAACCCAGCAATTACAAGTGCAAGGGTAAATCACACTTATTGTAAAGAGTGCTTGACAAGAAAAATTTAGATAGAATAGAATAGACTATTTCAGTTGGAAGGGACCTACAACAATCACCTAGTCCCACTGCCTGACCACTTCAGGGCTCAAAGCACGTTAAGGGCATTATTCAAATGCCTCTTAAACACTGACAGGCTTGGGGCATTGATCACCTCTCTAGGAAGCCTGTTCCAGTGTTTGACCACCCTCTCGGTAAAGATATGCTTCCTAATGTCCAGCCCGAAGCTCCCCTGGGAGCAGCTTTGAACCATTCCCACACATCCTAACACTGGATGCCAGGAAGAAGAGCTCAGCACCTCCCTCCCTGCTTCCCCTCCTCAGGAAGCTGCAGAGAGCCATGAGGTCGCCCCTCAGCCTCCTTTTCTCCAAACTGGACAAGCCCAAAGTCCTCAGCCGCTCCTCACAGGACATGCCTTCCAGCCCTGTCACCAGCTTTGTTGCCCTCCTCTGGACACGTTCAAGGACCTTCACATCCTTCTTATATTGTGGGGCCCAGAACTGCACACAGTGCTCAAGGTGAGGCTGCACCAACACTGAATACAGCAGGATAATCACCTCTTTGACCGTCTGGGTGTGCTGTGTTTGATGCACCTCAGGATGTGGTTTGCCCTCGTGGCTGCCAGGGCACGCTGCTGACTCATATGGAGCCTGCTGTCAACCAGCACCCCGAGGTCCCTTTCTGCAGGGCTGCTCTCCAGCCACTCCTCTCCCAATTTATACTTGTGCTCAGTGTTACTCCATCCTAGGTGCAGAATCCAGCATTTGGATTTGTTAAATTTCATCCCATTAATCATAGCCTAATGCTCCAATCTATCTAGCTCCCTCTGCAAGGCCTCCTGTCCCTCAAAAGAGTCAGCAGCACTTCCCAGTTTGGTATCATCTGCAAACTTGCTAATGGTGCATTCAACTCCTGCATCCAGATCACTGATAACTATACTGAACAGAACTGGCCCTGGGACTGAGCCCTGAGGAACACCGCTGGTGACCGGTCACCAGCCAGATGTAGCCCCGTTCACTACAATCCTTTGAGCTCTGCCCTTCAGGCAGTTCTTCACCCAGTGTACAGTGAACCTGCTCATCCTACAGTTGGACAACTTGTCCAGAAGGATGCTGTGAGGGACAGTATCAAAAGCCTTACTAA